ATCTGATTTCAAAGCTCCAAATTGTATGGCACATTCGTTAACACGCCCCGTTCCCCAACCCCACCTCTTCTGCCCAGGGCTGGCACTGAACAGGGCCATAGAGGCTCCACTATCATACACTTGGCATTGACAACAGAAAGGAGAACAGAGAACAAGGCAAGAAAAATCCTCCAGACGACGCACACCTACCACCCACCAGGATGCGGACAGCTGGTCTACCTGCACTTTTTCTATCTTCTGCCTAGACTCTGCAATTCCCCATTTAAGATTTCTCCGTGTAACAACTGCCAAGGATTTATAATTCAGTAGCATGACCAGGAATAGCCCAGAATCACATTGTTTCATGGCTCTAAGGGTGGAGGGAGCTTTTCTTCACACCGCAAAACTCTAAGACTATGCGGCGGGTAGGGAAAATTACTGTCACCAAAGCACGCCTCCCTCCCACCAGGCACACACAACACAGACTACAGCTACTGCTTTACAACTGCTCTGACCAGCTGCTTGACCTTAAATGAGATCCTTGGTAGGATGGAACTGCTAAAGAGTCCACCTTTTGTTAAAGCAGCAGTCCTTCCTTTTTCTGCATTGCTCTCCATTTTCCTTCCTACAGTTCACCTGAGTCTGGAAAACATTCTTAAATAAGTCTTCCACAATTTCCGCACAGCCCCCTCTTATCTTTTCATTTGTAACAGAACCTGGTGGGGGGCACGCCATGCCCCCACCACAGCTGGCTTCCCAGGGCCACCGGCCTGCAGGTTTGCCTTCAGCGAGAACACGCAAGCAAGACTACAATTTCCCAGTCCCTCCTCAATTCCGCACTAGGAAGCGTCCCAACCCCTCAGCCAAATTCTAGACACCACCGAACAGTCCTCCAAATCTGTTCCGCCAAGCCCCTACACCTTGCTCTTAAACTGATCAGCCCTGGGCAAATCACACTCGGCCCCCTCCACACCTCTCGCCCTACCCTTCACGTCTCTCCCCCTACCCTTCACCTTAGAGTCAGAAACCCAATCCCGCAGCCTTAGGTGGGATTTACATCATTCTTGCTGAGATGCCTTAATTCACAAAGTGCTACCTTCCCTTCACAGCTCTTAATATCATGGTCATCAGACAATGTCTGTGTAATTCATGCAATTCTTTAAATATCTTCCTCGCCTGCCCTGCCATGTGGACAGGGACCCCATGGGACTTGTCAACTGCGGTATGCCCGATGCAGGGGCAGTGCGGGCACATGGGAAGCACTAAGGAAATGTTTGTTCAATGAAGGAATGAATAGAAAACAAAGCTTCCCCCATCAGCCTCAAAAATAGCCACTCGACGATTTACCAGGACTAAGTGGCAGCTGGCCAATGATTTTCTTTCTTTTACTGATGGGGTCTAGGAATCAGCAGCATCAGATGCGGTGAAAAGCAACGACTCCTTTTCAGCGGAGTTCCCTAGGTACTTAGTGTAAGGAAAAGTTTAAAGTTCAGACGGATGGGGCCCAGCACCTCTTGCACAAGAAGGAAAAGAGGAGAAACTGGTCTGCTTCACAAAGAAAAAGCAAAACAAGGCCAAGCTTAAACAAGGAAATTATACCAAAAAACGCAGTGAAGTCTCATCATCAGGTCATCCCAGCACTAAGTGGCCCGGGGCTGCGCACACAGACTCCTTAGCTGCACAGAGCCTTCCCTACATGACATGAGCCCAAAGTGAGATGCAAAAACGGGTCAGTGCTCCCAGCTACTTTCTCCAGACTTAAAGAAGGCTGACAAGTCAATATCTCAAGATATCCGGGGACTTCTAAAAATGCCTAAAATCTAGACCTCACCCAATCAAACCTCCTGGCCCCTTTTCTCCAAACATTTGCACAGAGAATCCGGGAGGGAAGGGGCAGATGGGGCATTAAGAATATGAAGCTATATCACTAACCTACTATGTCCCCTCTTTTTGGAGAAAAGTTTTCCATGCTTTAACCACTCCCCTCCAAAAATCTTTAAAAGTCTTTTCCACCTTTACATGTGGCATTAAATAGCTAGTGGGAAGCAGCCGCATAGCACAGGGAGATCAGCTCGGTGCTTTGTGACCACCTAGAGGGGTGGGGTAGGGAGGGTGGGAGGGAGACGCAAGAGGGAGGGGATATAGGGATATATGTATGCATATAGCTGATTCACTCTGTGATACAGCAGAAACTAACACACCATTGTAAAGCAATTATACTCAAATAAAGATGCTAAAAAAAAAAAAAGCAATAGGAAGGAAGCGAGAGAGGGAGGGAGGGAGGGAGGGAGGGTGGGCAGCATCCATCCTACCACTTACAGTTCAGGACCCGGATCTCTCAGAGCACTTCTCTCAAGCACAAACCAAGTCTGCTTCTAAACATCCCAGGAATGGAATCTCCAGGCAACAGGGACAGGTGTCTGGCCATCACAAAGAGCCATATGAGTCTGTAACCCTGGACCACTCCCAAACTTTTCTCTCCATCCTGCGAGGCAGCAGAACTTTTAAGAGCAAAGCAGCTCAACTCTAACCTCGCACCCAGCTTGGCTGTGCTGCTCAGACTGTTCAAGGTCATAGAAGGGTTGAAAAATGAGATTGAGAGATTCTGATGGCCCCTATTTTAGTTTCTTTTGACTTATGGTTGGAGAGAGGTGCCATTATTACAGCAGATTACATACTTTACACAGTCACTCACAGGTCACTGTCGTTGACCCTCCATATCCACAGGGTATTGGTTCCAGGACCCCCGAGGATACCTAAATCTGCAGATGCTCAAGTCCCCGATATAAAATGGTGCAGTACAATGAATACAGTCGGCCCTCTGTGTCCGTGGGTTTGGCACCTGCGGATTCGATCCTTGGTTGTTTGAATGTGGGGATGTGAAACTTGGGGATACGGAGGGCTGCCTGTACTGCACCATAACCCGTCCAAGCACGCTCACAGATTAAGGAGCCCCACGTTAGAAACAGGAACAAAGATTGCACCTGACAGTACATAACCACAACTTCCTTCTTGTAAATTCTTCTGATTTCAAAAAGTATTGCATCAACTTAATGATCAATCTAGCACTTCTAACAGTTGTCTCCAAAACCTCTTTTTAACTTTGCATATTGGAGAAATTAAATGTCGGAACATTTTACAAGTGGAAAATAAAAGTATGTAATGACAAAAGCATTCAGTGGCTAAATCTGGGGTGGAACAATGTGTTTTTTGTTTTTGTTTTTTCACAGAACACAGGCACGCGGCGCAAGGTCTTTTAGAAGCAAGCAAATCACCAGCTATAAAACCATGGCTATTCCTTGTTCTACAAAGAGTTCCTTTCCATCACATATTTCTCATGGATCTCAGAACACAATTTTATTTTTTTGAATATGTTAAAAGCCAAAAGGTTTACTTTTATTTTTTAAAAAAAAAGCCAATCTGAAACTACTCCTGAAATCCAAAGAATATAGTACATTAAACGCTTCCATCTGTCTGTTCTTCCCTATTAAGTGGAACTTGCACTGTTTTTTCTCTTTCTTCCCTTCCCCTTCCGTATAGGTGGTTATCTGCAAGGCTATGAGGAAATACACTTCAAACGACTTGTTGGCAAAACACTGCTGTAGACTACGATTATTAGAGATTGTGTTTTAGACTGGTAAGACTGGTAAAGATTAATAATCAGTAACTCCCTGATTTATTCATTCACACACATGCATTTCCACACCATGGCTGCCAAGCCATAAATGAAGCAAAGATGCCTTTATCCTCAGGGTATGTTTGGGTGGTTTGGTACATGAGTGATGTTTTTTTCCCCTCTATTTCTTTTCAATTTTTTAATAAATATATATAATTTTATACTTAAAAGTTTTAAACTGGAAAAGACTAGCACTAAGAAATCTTCTCTAGACAGGCCCTCCACATACTATTTCAACTTAGAGCAACTTGGACAGCTAAAATCTCTAAAGTGATGGAGAAGGGCACATGGCCGGAGGAGAAACTAAGTACCTGTTAGCAAGAAATCCTCAAGTTAAAAATATAAAGTCTAACAGGCCGCATTCCGGTTTTCTGTATTTATCTTGAATATCAAACTCATTTTCATTAAATAACTTTGCTCTACTGTCATTAAGTCAAGTCTTTCCAAGGAAGGAAAGGTATGGTATCTTGCTGCAGAGAAAAAGATACCGCATTTATCCTCTGCGGGATTCCGCTTTGCATTTCAGAGGGGCTGTTACCATCCCCTACACAGCAAGTCAAAACTTGGCCAGACGCATCCACGCCATCCCCGAGGGACCTGAAGATGCTTGAGGAGAAGTTAAAAGAACCAAAATTTTAGGACTCCTTGGGGGCAGACGCCACCCAACATACTGGGTTCACTGGAGTAGCGGGAGCGGAGAAGAGGCAAAAATAGAAAAGTTACTTGCAGACTGTTTGGCAACTGTGCCCCGGTCACCTTTAAAACAGCGGCGCAAAGCCCTCGCGGCCGCTCCTCTGTTTGCCCAGGCGGAGGAGGCTCCGCGGCGGCCGGGGCGGCGGGGGACTAGCCAGGCGCCCAGGGCTCGGCATCTGGCCGCGCGCGGTGCACCCGGTGGGCAGCGCATCCCCGCTCCAGGCAGGGTCTCTCCATTTTCAGGGCCGAGGAAGCAACAATAAGCCGAGCGGAGCGGCCGCTCAGGCTCGCCTCCCTCGCGGCGCCCACCCCCACAACCCCTGCACTCCCGAGCCTCGGGTACCCCCGCGCGCGACCCCTGCCACGCCCCAACCCCGCACCCCGGGCTCGTCCCCGGCACGGCGCGGGGTGGCCCGAGCTCCCCGCACGCCCACCGCCCGGCGCGCCGTCCTCCAGCGCACGCAGGGACCCCCCGCCCAGCGCCGGCCACGGGGAGGGGAAGCCTGGCGGCCCTTCCCGCCCGGGGGACCCTCGCGCCAGGGGTCGGAGCCGGGCGGCCGGGCGGCCAGCCGCGCAGTGGCCCCGGCGGGCACCCCGCCTCCCCCGCGCTCCCAGTCTTTGTGTGCAAAGTAAGTGCGGTAGGCGAACCCACCTCGGCGCGCGCACAAAGGCGCGCGGCTCCCTCCCCGGCGCTCGCTCCGGGCGGCCGCGGCGGCGCCCAGCGGCCCGGCGGCTCAGGGCGGCCGGGAGGCGGCGCGGGCGGCGGCTCCGACGGCGGCGGCGGCGGCGGCGGCGGCGGCGGCACGGCCAGTCCAGCGCAGAGAAGCTCTTTCACACCCCGCGGCCCCGCGCGTCCGAATTAAGCGGCGAGGCTGGGCGGAGCTAGGCTGCTGAGGCCACGCCCCGGACACGCCCCGTCGCGCTGGCTGCAGCTCGGCGCTCCGGACCGCGGCCCGCGGGGACTGCGCCGGGAAAAAGTCTGTCAATTTGATTCCTGGAGGTTTTCGTTCTGTGGTTTTAGTTTGGTTGGCTTCGGAATCTCTCAAAGCAGAGGGAATATTGGAAGAAAAAAACTGAGTGTCACCGGATGAGAGAGAGAAAAATGGGAAATTAAAGGTGACAGGCGCCCGTTTGCGAGGCCCACAATCAAAGATCTCTCTCTGTCTCTGTCTGTCTGTCTGTCTCTCTCTCTCTCACACAGAAGCACATACACACATACACACACACACACACACACACACACACACACACACGACCGCAAGTATTCGGGACTGGTTGGTGGGTGTCTGGCCTCCATCGCCACTCCACTCCTGTGACATACAGAGAGACTGTCCCCATTGAAATTCTGCCAACACGTCACCGAAGAAAACTCAGAGGGACACGGAATCAGATGTACTGTCCAGCCAGAGCCTGAAACCCAGTGACCTGGGAATTTGCTCAGACTCCTCCCCCTCGCCCTCGCTCTTCAAAGGGTAATTGGAGATTTAAAGTTAGGCGAGGGGGCTTTTCTGGTGGCGTAGTGGTTGAGAGTCTGCCTCCCCATACGGGGGACACGGGTTCATGCCCCGGTCCGCGAAGATCCCACATGCCGCGGAGCAGATGGGCCCGTGAGCCATGGCCGCTGAGCCTGCGCGTTCGGAGCCTGTGCTCCGCGACGGGAGAGGCCGCAACTGTGAGAGGCCCGCGTACCGCAAAAAAAAAAAAAAATGGGAGATATGTTTCAGAGTAACAAACAATAAAGACAGCAGGTAATGGATTTTAGAGCAAAAGCTTTTTAATTTTCTTGGCAACAGATGAATAAGGGCTTATTTACTGGGAAGCTTTTCTGACTGAAACAGCTTGGGTCATGATCACACAGAAAAGTCATATCAATTATGGATTTTGGGAAAAACCAATTACTTACTCCAAAGATGCTGGAAAGTCACAGTACTTTAAGAGCCTTGTCATCCCTAGGCCTTGAAACCCACTGAGGGGTGGGGTCACCTGCCAGAGGATTTAGACAGATGGGCTCCTTCCCAGCCCAAGAAACTGACCTGTGTGAACTTTATCCACGGTGTTTCCCGCAAGTCTTACTTCCCTCCCATTCTTGGGTTATGTTGGTTCTGTTCTTGACAATGGGTACACCAGTCACTAAACCAGAACCTGGGATCCAGCCTAGATTTTGCCCTCAATCCCCACAGGGGAGACAATTCCAAGTCCTGCACGTTCTGTGTGACGGCTTGATAGCCCTTCTGGTCCCCATCCCACTGGCTCTGCCCCAGCTGGCCTTTGGGGTCTGTCAACACACTGGCGGTAGCCCCCCAGCTGTCCCCAGACCCCAATCTCACATATGCTTTTCCTCCAAACTGCTTCCCCAGTGAACATTCCACTTGCACATCTGTTCTCAAAGCCCTTTAAGGGATGCCCAATCCCTACTACATGACGAAGTTCAAGCTCCTTCGTACGGTACCCCGTAGAGCAGCATACCTCTTGATATCACCTTGACGACTTCCCTGGGCTCTTGCTGTATCCCCCAAACAAACACCCATGGTGCCACTCAGCCAGAGTGTTGTATTTGCTAAACGGCCCTGTTTTGTGACTATGAGGACTGGATGAAAGAATCTGTCACCTGTTAGGCTTTTCTATGCCTCCCCTCTACCCAGCACACCTTCATACCCCCCAACCCCCAAGAGCTTCTCTCCTGTCTGAGATCCAAGTTGCTCTGAGAAGACTTGCTGACCTGCTCAAACTGAATGGACCTTTTCTGCCCTTCCCATACCTAGCACGGCCTTATAACTAGTGCACTGTATTATAAATATGTGCTCTCAGGGCTTCCCTGGTGGCACAGTGGTTGAGAGTCCGCCTGCCAATGCAAGGGACATGGGTTCGTGCCCCGGTCTGGGAGGATCCCATGGGCCGCGGAGCGGCTGGGCCCGTGAGCCATGGCCACTGAGCCTGCGCGTCCGGAGCCTGTGCTCCACAACGGGAGAGGCCACAACAGTGAGAGGCCCACGTACCGCTAAAAAAAAAAAAAATGTGCTCTCCTTGAGCAGAGTTTATACTTGATAGATACACATATCTTTACATCCTCCTGCCTAACCCAGTATCTGGCAAATAAGAAATGTTAGGGACTGAATTGTGTCTTCCCCAAATTCATGTGTTGAAACTCTAACCCCCGATGTGACTGTATTTGGAGATGGGGCCTCTAGGGAGGTAATTAAGGTTAAATGAGGTCGTGAGGTTGGGGACCTAATCCAGTAGGACTGGTGACCTCATAAGAAGAGGAAGAGATACCAGAGATCTGTCTCTCTGCACACACAAGGAGGACATGTGAGGACACAGCTAGAAGGTAGTCATCTGCAAGCCAGGAAGAGGCCTCACCAGAAACCAACACTGCTGACACCTTGATCTTGGACTTCCAGCCTCCAAAACTGTGAGAAGATAAATGACTGTTGTTTAAGCCACTGTTCTGGCAGCTCAGCAGACTAATACAAGAAGCATGCATTAGATTCTAGACTCTAACACTGGAAAAGCATGGACCCACCAGTAAGCCTATAATGTACCCCCACTCAAAGCAGCCTGGACAAACTACTATGATGCCAGGGCAGTGGACAGAGTGTCTAGACATGATAAGTGACCACACAGCCTTTTCCCTGCCCTGGTGAGAAAAAGCTTATTCCATAGACTGAGGTATTAATGCCCAAGAATCTCAGCCTTGGCCTTACCTTTGTATCACGAACCATTATTTCTTTTAAACCAAAAACAAAAAAGTACATCAAATATTTACTTTGAACTTCTTGAGTCAAAGCTTTATTAAAAGACAGGATGCCAACACCCATTCATTAAGTCTACTGTTTGGGCCTTGTATTTCACATTCCTGAGAATCTTAGGGGGATTTTAATCCAGGTAGGATCAAGTATCCAATTTGGCTTGGGGCCCCTGGAGTCACTGTGGGTGGACTCCGGAAATAAGAACTTAAAGATTATGGAGTAGAGTGATATTTATACTTGTGTCCACAGCCTCTATCAACTGTGCCTGGACCACAGTAGAGGCATGATAGATGTTTGTCCAATAAATAAGCCTGGATTTTCAGGGCACAGCTAGACTTCCCAGGAGTATGTCAGGTGACACCTAACTCTCAGCCTGAATCTGATGTCCTGTAGATCCCATATTCTGGATGTGGACAGAATCCCAGGAAGGTCAGGTGAGCCCGTGGCACCTCCTTGGGTTTCTACTATTGGGCTGACACACTTCACCAGGTATATAGAGGCCCTTTGCTCACTTTCTCCACATACAAAACAAAGAAAATGCTCCCCTGAGTGTCTTTTGAGTCCTTTAACCAATCACTGGTGATAGATTCTCTAATCGTACGTTACTGCAAAACATACATAATAATTTTCCACCTTATAACACTCACCCGCAAGACCCCCCATACACTCAACTTTAACCTCATCCTCTTGCTTTGACATAGGGGGCCTTTTAAATTCATTCCTAAGGAAAACTGAGGAAAGCAGAGATGAACATGTAGGGACATAAAGTGGAACAAAGCAAATCAATTTGGAATGAGATATGTTGTCCTTTATCTCCCACTTGGTCATTTTCCTTATACACAATCTTGAAATAGTTGCTTTATGCCCCAACCATCATCCCGCAGAACTTCAAACGGATGAGAAAGGCTTAACATTGCCCTAGAGGAGGGAAATTTATTTTTATATGTATACTGTTCTGTATCTTAAATTTTGCACTGTGTCTGTGACCATTTGAATAATCCATTCAAAAAGACCATTTGAATAATCCATTCAAAAAGAAATAAAATCTTAATTTTCAATTCATATTTTTAAAGTCATGTTCTTTAATATCTGTATCACATCACATCAAAACATAGTGGCTTAACATAAGAATGAATGATTTGCTCACAGTGCTGTGGGTTGGCAATTTGAATGAGGCTCAGCTGGGATACCTTGTTTTTGCTCTGGTTTCTGTTCCGTTTGGCTCTACCATGCGTTTGGCTGTCACTGGGAGGTTGACTAGGGAACAGCTTGTCCTGAGTGGCCTCAAAGTCCAGATGTTGACTGGAGCTGTCTGCTTGGGTCCCTCAGGTGCAGGCTCACGGTGACTTCCTCCTGGGGTAGCTGGTCCAACAGGGTGAAAGAGGAAGCCATCAGGCCTCTCGAGGTCTAACCTCAAGGTCATCCTGCTACATTCTGTCATTCGAAAATATCACAGACCTAGCCGAAATCCAAGGTTTGGGGGCTCCACCCCTTGACGGTAAAGCGGTGGTCATATTTCAAAGGGACCTCAGTACAAGGATGCTATGTACGATTGGAGGAGTTGTTGTAGCCATCTTTGCAAATAATCTTCCCCTGCATCAGAGTTAAGGAACTCGAGCATGGAGGGTAGCTGTAACAGGTGATAGCAGTCGTCTCAAGGGAAATCCTGATTATAAACAAGCCAAAACCCTTTGCAATTAAACATAAAACCCACAACAGATTCAATAAATTGCTACTGGTCTCACGTCCTGAACTGAGAGATCAAAGTATGTATGTGATTTCTGCTTTTTCACTTCTGGTTTCAAATAAGAATGAGAGGTGGGGAGGAAAGGACAAAGGCTTTAGGACGCTAAAGAAGCTAAGGTTGACCAGGTTCTAAATCAGTGTATTAGTTATCTGTTGCTGCATAACTAATTACCACAGAATTAGCCCACATATATTAGCTCATCACAGCTTTAGTCAGGCACGGCCTGGATGGATGCTCTACCCAAGGTCCCACAAAGCAGAAATCAAGATGTTGGCAGGACTCATGG